AGAAATTATGCATGCCTGATGGGCGTTTTGTGCTTCCCCTCAGCGCTTAGATCATTTGGCTGATCCATCTTCTGTTGTGAAGTGGTGCCAGTGAGGAGAGGTCTCTAAAGGCATTTTCCTTTAGTGAAGTGCAGCGTACTAATGCGTTCTCCTCAGCCAACCTCGCGCTTTGCGTTTTTGTTTTAAAATGCAAACCACATGTAATGTTGCATGCATGAATTGCTTTCCACTGCCCAGAGCTCCAGGTTTGTTCTTAGTTTGTTCTTGAACTTTTAATAGTGGTGAAAATAAAGGGAGGGTCTGTTTGCATTGTTTATAGTAGGAAAGAACGGTGCAAGATTTCATCTACTGCTGTTCAAATCCCTTGCTATTTTCGGTATTTGACCTCTGCAGAGAAGATTGCCAAAACTACAGGTTGTTTTCGTTTTTATTACGTGTTTCTACCCTCCTACTCATAAGTTACTCTTACATTACTGATTAAATCTTTGAGGCAAAGTTCCATTTCTGCCACTTTTTCCACAGTATTTTTCAGAGAGGTAATTTTATGTTTCTGCATGTCGTTGAGCTGACATTCCTTTTGGAAGTGAGAACTATGCAATTTGGCAGCATCTTGTGTACACCACTGAGAGGAGAAGGAAAATAATTTAAGAATTGCTGGTTTATTTTTTTGAAAAACTTTCTGGATTGAAGAGGACTCATGAGCCTGTTGGCTTGAGTTGGGACTGCAGCGTTTAGAACAGTGCACAAAGAGCAGAGCAGTGTATGCTGAGCCAATATTAAATATCTAGTTTGTGCAGATAGGTGCTTACCTTTCACTTCTGTCATTGGAAAGGCCTGCTTTCGGCACCGCTGGCTGCTCGCTCTCGTCTTGCCCTGTGGTTGTTTCCACACTCCACTAGTGAGAAATACGTAACAAAGGCATCTAAAAATCCTGTCCTGCCTCTTTGCCATCCCTTCTACCTCATGCCTTCTATTCTAAAAATCAAGCTTACTTCTTTTTTAAAGGAGCCTTGTTAGGATGTCTTGGAGGTCAAAATATTTTGGTTTATTTCAGAGTGCTGTGTTCATTCTGAGTTCCCAAGATGTAATGAGTTTTGAATGTCCTTCCAGAAGCTTATTGTTTCTGGTAGTTGTGATATCAAGGAGATGTGCAGCGGTCGCCTGTAACTGTGAAGTTAATTCATAGAAAAGATCATCCCGTGAATGTAGTTCCAGAGGACTCGATACAATAACACAGAAGTTTCAGGGTTAATTTATAGAAGGTGGCTTTGCCTTGTTCAGGGGGTGCAGATGTGAAATGCAGCTGTTACATACGAGGCGTGGTGACCACTGAGGATGGGACTGGACTTGGGTATCAAACACAAGTGACTAGCCATAGCCAGACATCGTCAGCCAGATACTCACGTGTCATCCAAGTGGCGTTGATTTCCTGGCACCTTAACATCACCTGGATTTTGTCTGTGTTGAGACTGCAGATCCAGACCGTGGGCTGGAATAAGTGAAGAACCTGAATTTAATTAACCACTTCACGTTCTGAGCAAAGGAGGTACCTTGGGGAAAGAAGAGGTTTTGGCCAGTGCTCTCTGCGATTTCTTCAGAGACTGGGACAGTTCAAGGGCCAGCTGCCTGTGCCCTACAGGGTCTTTGGGTCAGACAGTTTGTCAGTAGCGTGAGCAGTTTTCCTCATTGATCATCGTAACTGGCTGTCGTGCTATGTCCCAATTGTGTCAGGTTTCAAAGGTAGTGACTTTGCCAAAGGATTCTTTGTGGCAGAAACAAAGCAGATACTGGTGGTGTTGAAGTTAAGGAGTGCTAAACTAAAAGTGCTTCACTTCTGCGGTGCAGAGCACCATGTGCTTTGTGGGTGGCTGTAGTCCAATGCTTAGTTATCTTCTATTGTGTTTGGAAGACCATTGTTTCCTATTTGTCTCATAAATTTAACACAGATCCTATTCCTGCCATTTAAACTTTCCCATCAAAATACAACAGTGACTTCCCCTTCTGAAAAGGAAGGGCTGGCAGCTACACCCTGAAGTTTGAGCATGAATTGTTTATATAACCTTCAATCACAATTTCATAATAGGCTGAAGACTTTCTTACTAGGGCAGACATTTTACTGAGTTTTTAGCAAAACTTAGCTGCCATCAAATGCAATTTTAAGGCTGCTTAGTTGTTACAGTGGAAATAGAATTGAAAACTACCCTCCAGCTTTCTGATGATATAAATTGCACATCTATCTGGAAACATGAACAGCTTTTTCTGGTATTTCAGAATAGCTGTGCCTATGTCATTCAGGGGTAGAAGCTTAAAAGCTATCTTGGGCTAATTTTATTTCCCAGAAAATATTATTAAATCTGAATGAACATGCTTTTGCAGACTCTGGCTTTTTACAAAGTGGTTTTTTTTTCTGGGTACTTGTAGAGTTCCCTTGCCCTCTCCTCCCCAGCAGTAAAAGCTCTGACACCATGAGTGGTGTAGAAACTGCTCATTGAATAATATTCTCTATCAAAGTCAGTAGTATTTAAACAACTGCATCTGGCTTCCCAAATGGATGACATTTGTCAGGAACAGGTCTGTTTGAGTTTATGTGGCCTTTTGAGTATAAAAAGTCTGGATATTTAGAGCTTCAAATTCAGGTCAGTCTGGAAAACTACATTTTTCTCACAAAAAGTTTACAGAAAGAACCTGATTCTTTTTTTTTTTTTGTAACCATAGCGCTACAGGATAGCTGGTTTATGAAAACTCCTTTCTCCACCTTCAGGCATGTGTTTTTGAAACAGTATTTAAATAGAAGCTTCCATGGTAATTCTTCAGTAAATTGGATTAAGTAGAAGTTGTCCCTATTAATAATATTAAATGATTTTATTTCTAAAAGTTAAATTATTAGTTTGCAGGGGAGTTTAAGAATTATGTGTTTGAGCAGTGTTTGGGAACAGTTCCCTTTATGTAATAGTTCTAGTAAAAGCTTGTTTCATTTGAGGACATACCCAGAAAAGTAAGTAAGGAGCAAGCTCTGTGGGTAGGGTTGTACACAGGCTACTGCCAGAAAACATGTTGAACCTCTTCTGTTCAGAGGGAAAAGGAGTTTCCACAGGATGTCTGCATTTTATGGCAAAAATGGCTTGTAGATGTGCTCTGAAAGGTTGCTTTGATGTAGAAGATTAACATGGGGACCTCATTGTCAGGATATTAATGAGGCAAATGGCTTAGTGAGATTATTTGTGACTTGGGAATTAAGCTTTTATGAGCATGCCTACTTAAGCTGTTTTTTAAGAAATTGCTCGTTTGTCACATGGCATCATGAATGTTTGTATGTACCAAACAGGAGGAGGGAAGGCAAAACCCCGAAACTACAAATACCACCAAGAAGGAAAAGAAAAAAAAAAAAAAGGCGGAATGCAGTTCTGTCATAGCAACTTTTCCTCTGTTGCTATTTTCTCATGGACTGTTAAAATAATTGCCATTAAACAAGTTATACGTGGAAACTTGCTCATTCTGTCCCTAAAAATCCAGCCTGAAGAGTTTGCAGAAAAATTTATGATAGGACAGCTGGGAAGGCGTGAGAATATCTTCACGCATTCTGGGTCTGCCTGATTTTTACTCCGTTTCTGTTTGGATTTTTTCGAAAAGGGTCCTTTCATGCATGTGGTAACTAGGACTGGATGCTGGCCTGGTCCTTAAGGAAAGTAGGAGATTTTTGAGTACTGCTTTACCCGGAATACCTGTACCAGTGAGAAGTTACTGGAGTGTTGACCCCCTAGAACCTCCTGTGATTCCTTCCCTCGGAGTTTGGGATTTTTTAAACACAGAAGAGCAGTCTAACTGAACCTGTAACTTTAACGGAAGTCATTCACATGGATGGTTCTGCGTGCTTAACGTACCCCACTTACATCTTTCTTTTAAAAGTGGTTGTAGTTGTGAACTCACTAAAACCATGTATTGTTTGTAATGGCAACTATCTTTTAACTTGAAATGCTTCAGTACTCTTTCTGACTCTAAATTGAGGAAAGCCTTTACTGCAATTACAGATTTGAATTTTCCTTTGCCTTATAGAAAGGGGAACTAATTTTTTTTGGGGGGGGGCACACCATTTTTTTAGAAGCGAATTTATGTATGAGGGGATTGAGAGAATATTGTTTAATTTTGGTTTTGCTTGGTAAAATTTGAATTTGTGTACATCACTGGAATAGTTTGGGTTTCTAGGAGGAGTCAGTCATGCCAGAGAAGAATTGCCTCTGAGAGGAAGATTTTTATCGTTGCACTAAGAGCAAGCATTATGTGGTTTTACAGCAGGCTTCGAAAACATTTAGGTTCTTGGGAGAACTGCTGAAAAAGCCAAAGGTGCTTAATTCCAGCGGATTCCACTGATGTCAAGTAGCCCGTTTAGGTGGTCCGTGGTGTGCTGACAGGTGTGTATGTGTGTCGTTGGGCACCTAAATACTTGTAAAATTTATCTCACCTGGCCGTTTCAGGCTGTAGTTCTGTGTAATTTTGGTCTTATTCTCTGCCTGCCCTTTGCACATCCCCCAGCAGAAGAGTTCACCGCAGAAGCCTCCTGTGGTTGTACTGATGCAACTATTTGTGGGCTGTGCCTCCTGGCAACTTCTTAGAACAAAAATTGTTCCTCCTTAGGTAGTGGTGAAGCCTTCATTTTCTTTCCACTTGTGGAGAACATCACTTTACTATTTACTTTATAAAAATAATAAAGCAAATTTAGCTAAGTGGCTTTCGCAGGATTCACAGACAGTTTAATCTTTTGAGGGGGTTATATGATGTAGTGCTTGCACTCACAAGAGACTGAACTCGGGGAGCCCCTTCCAGTTCTCTGTTTCTGTAAATGAAGTTGTAGTGAGTAGGACATCAGGATAACTGAATTTCCACTTCATGCACTATCTCTGTGCAAGAGGCTTTTTCTTATGTATTTTTAAAGCTAATATTTCAGAATGTTATAATTAAAACTCACCTTGGATTTTATTTATTACAGGTTTCTGACAACAGCATTGGAGATGTCTGCAGTGGAGAAGATTGAGGAGCAGCTCGCTAGCCTGCGCATAGCAAAGCGTTCTACGCTAAGCGAGGAGCCGGCTTACTTGCTGGATATAGACGTTTCCAAACCTGCTCAATCTGAAGGCAGTCGCTTTGTGGCAGTTTCATGTTCCAATAAGTCAATTAGGGTATATAACAGGGAAACATTAAACTTCCTGCGGGAGTACAGTAGCCATCCTGGGATACTTAATGGAGTCAGATTTGCACACGCGTGTGACAGCATCGTGTTTTCAGCATGCAGCGACGGTACTGTAAAATGTTGGGATATTCGTTTAGCCACTCAGAAAGCCGTGCAGACGTTTAGCGGCTATCCTTCCAACGTTTTCGTCAGTTTTGATGTCAACTGCAGTGATGTCATAGTTTGTGCTGGAACAGAAAAAGTTGAAAAGGACACGTTTCTGGTGTTTTGGGATGCAAGAGGCATTACAGACTGTGCCAGCACCACTGAAGAACCCTTGGGAGTCTATTCTGAAAGTCACAATGATGATATCACTAAAATTTGTTTTCATCCTATCGAACCCAACTTAGTAGCTTCCGGGTCAACTGATGGGTTGGTTAATGTGTTTGACATTAACAAGGATAATGAAGATGATGCTTTGACATCAACTTGCAATTCAGATTCATCAGTAAGTTTTATTGGCTGGTCTGGGAAAGATTATAAGCAGGTCTACTGCGTGACACACGATGAGGGATTTTGTTGGTGGGACATTGCTCAGTTAGATACCGAAGAACCAATAACCCTGTTGCACGTTCTGGATGTCAGAGACGCAGCCTGTGTTGAAAACGACAGCTTGCATTACCTGGTAGGTGGTTTGTACCACGAAAAGGCAGACAGACTCTTTCTCATGGGGGGAACGTCCACAGGAAACATTCACCTGATCAGCTGCGGCACCGATGGGCTGAGCCTGGTGGGCAGCCTGTGCGGAGGACACTGTGCCCCTGTTCGCTCTTTCTGCTGGAGCCTGACGGATGAGTCCCTGCTGACGGGTGGGGAGGATGCTCAGCTGTTGCTATGGAAACCCGGCGCTGTGGAAAGGTCCCTGGCAAAGAAAGCGTCTGTGAAGATGGCTTCTTCTGTGCAGAAGAGAGTAAGAGTTCACAGCAGTGCCCTCAAAAGCAGGAAAAATGTAAAATTCTGAAAGGGGGAATCTCTGCTGTGTAGAGTTTTCCTGGTGGTTAACCTCTTGGGCAATACTTGGCTGTGCTTTATTTGGGGGTCTTCTGTGGGAAGAACATGATGCTTCAGTTCTACCTGGGAGTGTATTTCAGTCACCAGAATGCCTCATTTTGTTTCGTTTTGGTTTGGTTTGTTTTTTTTTAAGTTGCTAATATTAATCAGAAAAGAGAAAAGGTTTGCTCTTGAATTCTTGAACAATAGATCTTAAATCATATTATATAAAAATGCTTCTGTGGTTGTTTAATGTCTCAGCCAACATTTTTAATGTGTAATATAGGCCTGTGGCTTGCATAATTTTTTACCTTCCCACTGAAATTCCCTGGCATGTTTTAAAAGCTTTTGTGTTTCATGCTGCATTTTGCTTTCTTTACAGAGAACTTAATGAAATAGCTCTATATATTAAAAGATTTTATGTCACTTCTTAACGCCCAAGGGAATTACTTTTTGATGAAAGAGAAGATAAGTCCTGCTGTGCACTGTCGTATCGCTGGTTTATAACAAGCTCATAAAGAAGCAGTTGACAGAGCTGTGTTTTTCATAACAAAGATACGAATGTATTCAACCAAACAGGAACACATGATTCCAACCTAATTTTTAAGTGTATGAGAACTGTTAAACTGGCATTATTTAGGACGTACTGACTGCACGGAAACACCCAAGAATCTTGCAAGCAGCTTTGTTCTCTCCTGGTAAGTGTATCTCAGGGAGGTGCACCTGGAAGACTGGGGACATCTTCAGTGGGTTAAAGAAATTGGTAGGTATAATTACACCAGTGGTGCTGAAAATCCCAAATCCTGGCTAGTGTCACATTCCAGCTGGGAATGTTAAAACCCAAAACTGAACACTGCCTTCTGAGACTGTAGTTACGGAGTAACAGACCAATACGAGGAGACTTTAACAAAACCTTTTAGAGGTTAGTGTGTGTCCTTTTAAGAAATGTTTCTCTCTGCAGAGAAGTTTAATGCTTAGATACTCCCTAGGACAGCTTTGTTTTAGTATTCCATCAAATACCTATTAAGTGGTGCAAAAATTGCCCTGTACGGAAACGGTTGAGTCTTTATGCTTATTCTGCTCCACTGGCAGACTACAATCTGTGCATCTGGCTCTGCACACACGATTACCTTCAGCCTTCTGAGGACCATTGCAGTCAAATGGTGGTTGGTAATTATGCCAACCATTAAAAATGGTGGTTAACATATGTGGACTACAACAGAAATCTGCACAAGAGTATTTAAGAATTGCTATGTTATGGAATAGTTGGCGAAGGGATTAAGAGGGGTTGGTTTTATTTTTTCTGCCTGAGGGTGGATGGGTAATTCTTTCAAAACGAGCTTTGAATCTCAGGTTTAGAGGATTAGCCTGGAGTTGAGAAGCGGTTTCGGAGGTACAGAAGGTACCTTTAGTGTATGGTTACAGCTGTGCTGAAGACGTCTTAATCATCTCTGGAAACGAATCCTATTCAACCAGAAGTACCAAGTTCCCACATGATATGTTTTACAAACTGTTAATGTCCTTGAGCCACAACTATGCATCCATAGTTGTTCTGGGTCTGCCTGTTGGTGATCGTTAGGAGGATTCACTTGTTTTTGTTACTGCTGGTTATTTGAAAGTGCAGCTTCAATGCAACAATCGCATTTCTCTACGCTTTTTTTTTTTATTATTACTTGCGTTAAATTCAAGTTACACCCAACATCCTCATCTGTTGCTTTTCAAATTACTTTGTGCTATTTTGAGACAACTTGGGCAGCGAGTGTGGGCTGTGACGCACCTGGATCGTGTGCCCTTTCAGGATTTATTCTCCCGGGTCACTACTTACTGCCTCTTTCTGTGGAATTCACAGTTTTGTAACTGAGGGGACCACAAGCTTCAGACCCCTCTGAATTTACCGTAGTGCCCTCACGGGCCTGACTTGGTTCAGCACCCATAGTTGGGGGAGGGGAACTAAAGGATGATTCTGAGACCAATTTCATTGCAAGGACAATATATAACTTGCTTTCCAGGTGTTTATCCACTGTTATCCTGGTATCTTGGTGCACTCAGTGGATTAAGGTCATTGGGTCTGTCTAACACGTGATTTTTGAAGACAGTTTTGTGTGCTGCATACAGAGGTGCGCCGTGAGGGAGCTTTTGGTTGCCTCCGCTTGCTTCCAAGTGCCCGTTGAGCGAGATTCTGATGGGTTCTGCCGACGACCGCTGAATTGAAGTGGAGAGATGGGAGTTGTGGTACTGAAGTGTTGGAAGTATGCAGCCTGTATCTGTTACCTTGTTTCTGATAGATGGATACGTAACAAATCGATGTCCTTCACGGTTAAAGCCATGCTTTTCCCTGAGAAGCTGATTTCTCCCTTTTACGTACATAACTGAGATAGCAATGGAAGGGGAAAAATACGTGTATCTTAAAGTTCTGCAAAAGCACAGCAGCTGTCAGGAGACTCAGGCTTGTTGCCTCTGAAAATACTTGATTATTTTCTTTTTCTTTATGTTTTGTACTGACTTAATTTCAGGTTAATATCCATAAAACAAACATAGATGGAAACCACATGTTAACGTGTAATTAGCATTGCTTGCTTTTGTAAAGTGTGAACACTGTTTCGTAGACCACAGAGCATGGAAAGAATACGTATGTAATCATATAAATAATAACAGACTTGAAATTAGGCAGATTAACGTGTCTGACAGTAACCTCTTAGGTTAGTTTTCGTGTCTGTAAGTTGGCTTCAGCATTAAGAAACATATTTGACCTTTATAAAACTTATGTAATTGAAACTGTGTGCAAGTAGCAGGCATTCAGAAATCATCACTATGTGAGCTGTTTAACCCCAGGGGAAGCTTTAATTCCAGAAGCAGTGTCAGGTTTTTTCCAGTAAATGAAAAGTAAAGATCCAGATAGACTACCTAAGTGCAGAAACAGTGTCCATCTTTATTCAGAGATGATAGTAAGCCTGTTGTACAATATTTCTGAGCAGCAGGAGATTATTGTGCTGTGAACACATGAAAATAAACTTATGTTTGGCACGTTCCTGAATTTCCTCTTTTCTTTTCTCTGTAGGTAAAATCCAACACTTGTATGCTCGCTGCTGTTGTTTAACTTCTGTTCCCATGGAATATTGACTTGCCACCTCTTCTTGAAGTACTGTTGTACTGATTCATTTTGTTCAAGTAAGAGATGTATCAGGATGACATCCCGTAGTCGGTGGGGAACTTCACCAGCCATTTCAGTAGAGTGTAGGATTTTACCCACGCTTTAGGGGGACAGCGGAAATTACTTGACAAATCTAAATAAAGGTGTGAATTCATTTATAGGTGGAATTCAGTCAGCCAGTTGTCAGTCATAAGCTCTTTTGTGGCCAAATTGCGTATGGCATGTGTCCTACGTATTCACATGGACGTAACTGCATATCTGCATGCAAATTGTAATTAGTAAAGATGCTGATACAGGAAAAGGTTGTAAAGACATGAAGTGCAAGCTCATTTATGAATGCTGGCCAAGAGACAGCCGTCAATCTTGTGTAGCCCCGTAGGTCATACTATCACATGAAGCTGTATTTTGTCATGTGAAGTGCTGACTCAGAAATGGGCTTTTAAAGGCGTTAGAAGCCGGGCGCCTTACACGCTTACATAGCTGCATCTTGTGCCTTGGGGTAGGGCACCTTGCCCCTTGGGATGGAGCCAGCCCAAGTGGGATGGGGGTTCGGTACGGGTGCAGCTGATTGCAGTGTCAGTTTTTCAGCAAAGCTTTTGTACCCCTGAAGGAATTGACACTTTCAACCCACCTCATAAAGCTCATCTGCAGTTGCCGTGGTTAACTTGGAATTGCCTTTCTCCATCCCTTTGAAGTGATCTTCTGTTATTTGGCTGCTTGGTCTCTTTTTGGGGGGTAGTACTGAGTTTTATCTGGATATCTGCTTTTCTGGAGAGGGATGAGCCCTGGCCCTTTGCCCCATGAGCTCTCCTGTCCTGTGTGTAGGCTGCTGGACTTTGCACTTTGTATTACACCAAATGGGGGGTGCGAAGCAGAGGGAGGGAGGAGAAAAAGGAGGTTGACCCCTTCCAACCCTCTGAGAGGGTGTCTGTCCAGGGAAACTCCTCGACTAAGGAGTCGGACCCTCTACCTTTGAAATACGTGTAATGGTGTGTTCTTGAGCTTGAGGGAAGCAGGGTAGGACTTTAAATAAATTATGCAAGACATAAACACCCTTCAAGCATAAAAGCCAGTTCCTGTTTGTCTGCAAGATGAACAATTTGGCAATGAAGCGTGCAGGAGAGGCAGAAGGTGTTTGCTCACAGGGGCTGGGTATTCTTCTGCGAGCAGTGAGGAGAGCCGCTGGTCAAGCCAGTACTGCTACCTCTGCCCTGCAGGAACCGATGGCTTTGGGGGTTTCAAGTGCCATGGAGAAAAGGAAGGCGACAGTGAGTGTGGAGATGATGGCTAAAGGTGGCAGTTCAGTCTGTGAGCACACAGCTGCCTGTTAGGGGACTATACAGTGCTGCCTTCCTCCGTTCCTTGTCAGAGGTATTTGCAGATAACCTAACAGCCGCTTGTGAGGAGCTTTGGTAACTTCTTGTCTTCTGTTTCCTTTTTCTATACCAGTTTGTAAACTGGCACAGGTATGTTGGCTGATGGGAGTGGAGTGGGGTTAACTTCAGTTACTGCCGCTGACTGCTTGGCCCCAGCTTGCTGTCATGGTGTTCTGTCCTACTCGGATTTCAACACATGCATTTCTTCAAGCCCCGCGTCCTCGTGCCTTTAGGTACTTTGAAAGCTGTATTTTGAGAGTTATCTACTTTTCTGGAAACAGAATGACAGAAAATACTATTCTATTTACTCCTGCTGCAATCTTGGCACCAATATTTTTACTGGAATATATTACATTTTCAATTCAATACCAATTCAGTCTTACTCTCATGCTCTGAATAAAGATTTGATGCTGCTAAAATCCCATAAAGGTGGTACTTGAGCAG